TGGTGCGAAATATAAAAAGAATACGCGTCGTTCACGTCCAAATCGAGTTTTTAAAAATTAGCATGTTAGTCAAAATTAACCCCTCCAGATTTTTCTAATCGTTCAATTAGCGTTACTAAACCACAAGATACGAATACGAAATTGCGTTTTGTCCATTCTGGTCGAATTCCACAATTGAATTGTAAAATTAAGACTATAATCATTCTGTTATAAAGTCACGACACATCAATAGGGCAAATCAGAAGCGATCAGACAGTCTGACGCTTAACCAACGGTCTGTTGGAAGACAGCTCCTTTGAGATGAAACGTTAATTGACTCCCTAGCGACTAGTAGAAAAAGTGCAGTTTGGGTTCCTAACGCTAAACGGCGGCGAACGAAGAGAAAGATAGCTTAAAAGACAAATATAGGGATTGCATTCATGAGGGATGTATTTTTCAACTTTTAGCCTGTGAAGTTCAGGGAGCCGCCGGAACTAGCAGTGACATTTTTCTTCACAAGATCTGGGCGAATTTGAGCATATTTACAGAGGACCCAGGGCAAGTAGTCTTCTTAAACAGAGAATCTGCCCAGATTTACGAGCTACTAACGGTGCCTGTGTACTCGGGACGTAAAATGGTAAACTGTGTGCGAAGAAATTTTTTATTTGAAGAGCCAAGGGAACAAAATCGCTCTCCAGTAAAAGTGTCTGATGGAATTGTAGCATCATTTGAGGTCAGTTCTGTGGACTTGCTTTCAACTGCAGTTTATCCTGTGCTGGCGTTAGTTTGCTCAATCTAGTTAGCTGGATTCCCAACCGTTTGTCTCTTTAACTCTATTCACGTTATACTTTACTTTTCTCCAATTTATGAGAATGAGAATGCAATGGTTTTTTGATTGGGTCAAAAGATGAATGATATTTTCTGACCTTCTAAAAAAATTTGATTTTCAGCTGCGCCTCGGTTGAGTTGTTTTATCAATTGATCATTATATTCGCAGTTTGGATTTTTAAAACTCCAAATCCGCAGCTAAACTTCTGATTTCATGACCGACTGGCACATCATGCACAAGAGTTCATTGGTTTCAAAGAAGTGAATTGATAATGGCCAAGCTGGGGTATGGGTGTAATTTTTTGGCTACCATAATTTTTTTCTTTTTTTTTGTAAATTTTCTGTAAAATTACAAAAGGGGCCCTTCCGTTTAGTTACAGTAAGTGCACGAGGGCATATATATCAGCAATAAAGTCATAAAACAGCATTAAATGCATCGTCGTAATGTTAATTTATCTTACCCGTCCTTCCTCTACAATAGCGCATATGGAGTTGTCGATCAATTGAACTTTGCGTAGCGATCTGCACCCCCTTAAACAAAATATAGAGCTCCTCAGGAGCGCGAAGCTTATTTTAGTTCTTATGTAGTTTATAGATTCTGGATAGCTTTCTTGTCTTTTTTCACTTAGTTTTTCGGCTAAACGCTGCATCGTCCACGTGGCTGTTGGAGCAGCGCCACTGGTGCATCCAAAAATTAGCGGACAGAAGCTACTCTGCTCTACTTTTAAAACTCTTTGCTGATATTTAGAGTTCTTTGGCGTTTCGTGGTATTTGTATGCGTCTTTATGCAGTTTTCGCGGTGTTTTGGCATGGGGGTTGAAAATTTTTACATCAAAGAAAACGCGGCTGAATCGTGAACCCCAGAGTCCGTTTGCCTTAATGTCAAGTCGTGCCTCATCTTCAGTTATAGTTGAATTGTTGACAAAATTTTCGCCTTGCAACGGCTGAAGTTTCGGCTCAATCTTGACGTCATGGCAAACCTCGTTCATGAGGTTGGCGAATGTGTCTCTAATTTCATTGTGTCTTATGTGTGTGTAACCACCCTTTGCACAGTGACGCGCATGTGTCAAGTTAAAATTACCACAACATGCATATGTGAGTGGGGTTTTGGTCGGTTCCCATCCGTATCTTAAGTAAATACCAACTCTGAATTCTGCTTTATTCAGGTTGAAGTTGTATCTGCTCAGTGGTAATGCATTGAGCCAGTTAGAGGCTCCTTTTTCAGAGGCCAGACCGAATGCGTATTTATCTGCTTCATTTAGGAAGTTAATGAGGTTTGTTTTTTTTTTCCAATTTGTTCTATCAGTTTTTAATTTTTGTTTTTCGTACAGATTTTTTCTTGCTGTGTTACTGCTGTAACAGGATCTTGAGATTCCAGTACTAGTGATGTTTCCTTAGATGATTTTAGATAGCTTTCATGATCGGATGGCAGCTTGATGTTAAGTCCACCCATTTTAAGGGGTAAGGAAGATATCTCGCGGAACTGGGAGTTTGAAGTGTCTTTACCGACTAGGTTAGGTAATAATTGTTCTTTGATAATATTTTCACATATTTCTAAATTTTCTATAGTATTAGGCTTTGTCCTGGCCAGAAATGAAAGCTTTTCTTGAACTCCTTTAGTAGAGCAGGCATAAACGTTTTGAGGGGAGGTTTGAGCGATTTTCGTTAGTTTTTTCAAAATTTTGATTTGCTCATTCTGTTGAAACTCGAGGATTTTTCTACATTCTCATTCTGTTTCTATAACTGAACCAAGCACTCGAGCTTCTGTCTTTATCGTGGTTTCTGTATTTGCGAAAATTTTCTGAGCTTCACCGAGTTTTTCATCCTTGACAATGAGTTGGCATTTGGATGTTTTCACGTGGTAGCCGAAAAATTTACCCAGTGATACAATTTTATCGAGGACGGTTCGTAGATTGCTTATTTTACCGACTGCGTTTCCATCGTCTGCGTACCCTTTCTGGATTACATCGTCTACTGATGAAAGTTTCATGATGGGTATTATGGCTAGACCGTACATGGCCATTGCTAGTGGATCCCCCTGGGTTGTCCCTTCTTGAGAGTAGATGGTTTTTTTGTTAACGAACAGTTTAGATGGATTAGAGTAGGAGTTCTTGATTGCTGTTAAAAGAGAAGGGGAGGTATTTTTGATGTTTTTCAATGCCAGCTTTCGGTTCAGCGAGTTGAAAGCGTTTCCGGCATTTATCAGTAAAACAGCATCGGCGGAAATTTTGCTAAATTGATCTCTTAGCGTGTGGATCGCATATTCAATGCCACATTTTTGTCCTGGACAGAATTGGTAGTTCGAACCGAGCGATATGAGTACGTTTTTTAGGCATTTGGTTATTGTTTGCCGTTTTTTAGGCATTTGGTTATTGTTTGGTTTTTATCCTACGCATAACTTCTCCTATGCCTATGGGTCTTACTCCTGGATTCTTATCTAAGAGTATTAATCTACATGCGTTATATGGTTCCATTAGTTCTGGATTTAGTTCTTCGCTGGCCAATTTTTTGGCAATTTTAGTAATTGTTTTTGAAATCTCAACTGAATGTTGCCCGAAGTGTGTTAAAATACGTCTCCATTCATTTGGATCGAGGCCAGATGGTCCATGCGATCCGTGCGTTCTCATGGCTACCTTCTTGATATGTTGACCGTTTATCTGATCAAATATCGATGGATGGAAAGGAATTGTTTCATTTGAGACTGGTGTAATATATTTCTCATCAATTGGTTTAGATGGTGGGTGCTTCTCTATGAGAGTCTGTTCTACTGTCTTACACTTGACGATCTTGTAGAGCGAAAAAACGCCTTTGGATGTGTCTGTTAGTTTTGCATTTGCGCTTCATATTTTTCCAGTATTCATTAGTTTGTTGACCTGTTTTGCACAGTAGTAAGTGTGGAAAAATCATTGCTGCGTGCATTGCGAAGGTATTGTCGTTGTTTTCTATTAGGCTGCTCAAAGTTCTATTGAGGGTTTCAATGAAGTTATAACCAACTTTTTTTTTGACGAGATCATAAAGACAGGTTTCCAGTGGACCACTTCATTGTGTATTTTCCTCTTGGTTTCTATGAGTTCTGGACACGGGTTTGATCATGGGTCTTGTATTGTTCTAGGTTCTATAGTGGAAGACTCTCCTGAGTTTTGTGAGTTTGGGGCAGTGGAAGGGTGAGGGTGCATTTGGGGGAGCGTGGTTGTAGCTAGGGTTGGGGAATTGCATTCATGCTTGTCGTTAGCTGAATGAAATTGGGAGGTGCAGCGATGACAACTGAAATCATCATAGTGATCACTGCTGCGGGCTAGGCTGTTTTTACAAATAAGGCAGTGTGTTTGAGTAGTCATTTTAGGAAGGACGGCGGTGTCAAGTTAGCGAGAGAATTTATAGTGTAAAATGGCGATAAAATTTGTAAAGAAATCATTACCGTAGAACGAGAAATGGATACCATCATGGCAGAACATTTGAGGGGTTAGACTAAAGTTGAGGTTAGGTGAAACAATCAGTGTATGGGGGTGTACAAATCGATTTATCAAATTAAACAGCACATGATTATGAATATAAATTTTGCGGTTAACTTCGGAATTATTACAGTTCTGAATTGTTTTGGGGATGATCAGTGTCTTGAGCTGAAACTTGTTAGTGACGAGGTTAATCAAGTTTTTCAACTGCTGTTCCAATTTCTATGGATGCAGCCTGTTGTTATTGTATCCAGCAACTATTGTTACAGTATTTAGGCGCTTTGGTCTGTATTGCAAAGATGTTTCAAACAGATCTTGAAGCGTTGCGCCGCGGTAGGTGTGGATTGTTGATTTTACTAGAGCTGGTTTGATAAATTTGGTCCTTGAAGTCCCAATAACTAGTTTTTGTGAGAACTCACGGATGCGTCTTGCCTGGAACCGCGGCATCTACCTGAAACACAGGCAACTGGGGCGAGAAAGGAAGCTCTTTGGGGTGATTTATGAACACTTTCACTTAGGGTTTAAAATTGTTTAGGCAAAGGCGATGAAGAAAAAAAAAGGAGTGGTACAACCTGACGTCGTTTTGGAGGTCGATTCACCAGCTCACTCCTTCTTGCGTTTGGGGTAACTTCACTCGCCTACGGCTGGGACGGCGAGATTTGGTAAGATAACCAGGAGAGGAAAGCCAAGCGTGCATATGATATGAAAACACACAAGCGGTAAATTTGAACAAAGAAAGTGTTCTATTTAATAAGTTTATCACAACAATTAGGCTTTAATAGGGGAAACGGACTTTATCCTCCACGGTAATTATCCTCCAGGCGATATCCTCCACCATTATCCTCCATTTCTCAAACAGGGACTTTTTCCTCCATTTTTATCCCCCAATTTTATGAATTTGGATGTTCATGGTCAGCTGCATGAAAAAGATGGGAGCTGTGCGACCAGTGGTTCAAAAGTTATGACCCGAGCCGTAAACAAGCTCAAAATGAGGTCCAAAACTGACGAAGTTGCTTCAGTTGGCTTGAAAATTAACAAAGCTTGCTCGTAGAGCTTCGGGGATAGGCCCATTCGCTTCCTCGTGAAAAATAGGTCTTAGAACCACCTTAGATGAGCTTGCGCGACCCTTGGTTGAGCTGCAGGAGCGACTGATCGCCTGGAGGATATCGCCTGGAGGATAATTACCGTGGAGGATAAAGTCCTGTACCCAGTTATATCGTATATGGCACTGGTTAAGATTTTTTTTTCGATTTCTATTTTGAATTTGGTGTTTTATTTGACGGAGTTAAAAATCAAAAACGCACTTGTTGTGGGATGCTGTCAGGATTGTCAATTTTGAATGTCCATATTTTTTTAGTTAACGAGATACGTTGATTTTTTTTGTGAATTTTTCAGAACATTTTTCAGAGAACTCAAAACAAAAAGTAATTCACAGAGTTTGAAATTTGCAACGCTGTAGTGGGGTGCTGTCAGAGTACTATCAAGGATTGCAATTCTTGCCTCCAAATGTGACTGCTCATATCCTTGTAGTTTTCGAGATATGTTTTTTGTGATTTTTTTTTCGAAAAAATTGCTAAAAACCTGGACGAATTTTTTTCTTCAAAATTTCGAATTATGAACTCTGTAGTTTGCGGATTATCAGAGTACTCTCAGGGGTTGTGGACCTTGCCTCCAATTATGACTGCTCAAATCCTTGTAGTTTTCAAGATATGACGTTTTTTTGATTTTTTCAAAAAAATTTCAAAAAACTTGAATTAATTTTTGTTTTCAAAATTTGAAATTCCTAACTATTTAGTTGGGTGCTGTCTGGGCTTTAGTAGGGGTTGCGAATCGTGCCTCCAAATATGGCTGCTCAAATCCTTATAGTTTTTGAGATTTGAAGTTTTTTTAATGATTTTTCGTAGGGCTCTATACGAAATTTAGAGCCGGTTTTCCCCGCGAAGCGGTGATGCGCGCCCCCTGCGACCTTAAACTGAGACACGGCTAATTAAGTCTTTTGACCAATTGAAAAGAATTGGGACTTATGCGACTGCTATTTTATTTTGGAACCTATGGGACTGATTCTTCATTTTGGAACCTTTGAATACGCACCATAAAGAGAATCTCTCAGGGTACTACCAGGGGTTGCGTATTTTGTCTCCAAATTTGACTGCTCAAAACCTGCTAGTTTTCGAGATATGACGTGTTTTATGATTTCTTTTGTTTAATTTTTCAGAAAACTACCATAAAAAAATCAAAAGATTTGAAATTCCCATCCTTTAGGTTGGCTTCTGTAAGGGTACTCTCAGGACTTCTAAGTTGCGAATTTTACTTCCGAATGCGAATGTCCAAATACTCTTAGTTTCCAAGATTTGACGTTTGTTAGGTCATTTTTTTTTAGAAATGCTCAAAGAATTCAGATATAAAAAAAATTTACTAAATTTGAAGTTCTCATCTCTATCGTGAGGCTTTCTAAGGGGACTCTCAGGGGTTGCGAATTTTGCCTCCAATTATGCTGCTCAAATCTTTGGAGTTTTCGAGATATGATGTTTAGATGTTTTTGTGATTTTTCGAAATGTTTTTAAATGTAAAATTAAATGTAAAATTATTTTTCTGAATTTGAAATACCCTGCCGTGTATTTGAGGGCTGTTATAGTACTTTTAGGGGTTGCGAATCTTATATCCAAGTATTACTGCTCAAATCATTGTAGTTTACGAGAAATGACGTTTTTTAAATGTTTTTTTTTCGAAAATTTTTTTTAGAAAACTTAATTTTGATGTTTCTCAAATTTAGAAATTTCCAACGGTATAGTTTGGTACTGTGAGATTACTCTCTAGAGCTGCAAAATTTGCGTTCAAATGCGACTGCTCAATTGCTTTTAGTTTACCAGACGTGTTTTTTAATGTATTTAAAAACTTAGATATAAAAAACTTCACAAAGTCCTATGGTTTATCAAAATTTGAATTAAGAAAAACTTGAATATGAAAAACTTCACAATATTGAAGTTACGAACCCTGTAATTGGTTGCTGCCAGAGTATGATCTTATTTCAAATATATGCGGTTTTTTGAGTTGGAGGTGCGTTACGCGCTAGTTTGCATTTAGGTATGTCTACTTGTATACTTGGAATTTTAAAAAGTTTATCAAATTTCGTCCTGAAGAGCTCGTGATCCATTCGGAAAAGACATGGTTACTTCGTGCAACTCGAAATCAATGACAAAAGTATCTACATTACAGGGGCATAGAGATTTTTGTAGTAATCTGTCGAAAGAGGAGTAGTTCTGACATCTGAAAAGGCTAGGCTAAACCTTCCTTTAAAACGGGTGAGTTATTATGATTCGAATCGCTTTTCAATGTGAAAAAAATGCTTGCTCTCATAAGATTAGTTTCTAATTAAAGCTAATGGCTCTTAATTTGATTCAATATCTAATTTGATTCAACTACTTAGCGTGGGTAAAATAGAACGCAAAATATGTTGCAGACGATAAAATGGGTAAAAAGATAAAGTTGTCTGGAGCTGGTCGCTTTGGAAATGATTTCTCTGGCACCGAAGACTCTCGAATTGATCAGCCCCTAAGTGCTCCGAAAGGTCACATTTCGGCGTTGAAAAGGATCGGCAGGGCAAACTCCAATGTACCCTCAACCGAAACCGAGCAGTCTCTGCCTGTAGATGTGAACAAGAATGAGGAGAATTTGGCAACACGTTTTATGGTTACAGTTACAAACGATCGCAGCTCGAAAATTGGAACATTGGCCAACGGAACAAGCTCTATGAATGCGCACGCGCAACCTGTCAGGCAGCAATCCTCACTTCAATCTCGGCTCGGAAACATTGCGTTGCAGAATGAGAACCAAGTAATGAATAGTCAAGCTGCGTCCTCTATTGAGATCATTGATCTGGATGCTGAGCCTGAAGCTGCTGCTGTTGCACAGGTTGCTCAATCGCCCCTGAAGAGATACAGTGGCCCGGGTATGGCACCCAAGCCTCCCATGAGGCAATCGGTCCCAGGTATTGGGGGAGCTAAATTTGGTAGCAACCAGCAAATGCATGGGAACAGACAACAAAGTGGAGGTGGACAAAATTACAGCAATAGAAATAGTATGCCTGGAGCTGTTCCTAGACCGCAAGTGATGAATCGAAATGAAGGCATGGATCAGAACAGAAAGCGAAAACACGAACAACCAATGGGTAAAACAGATTTCCGTGAAGTGTTTCCTTCTTTTTAGATTCCAAAAAAGCAGTTTTAGCTGTAGTTTATCACTGGCTTGGAGTTTTTGTTTGATATGGGAGATTCACCAGTATTTCATTTTCTAGTCTGGCATTTCGACTAAATTGAAACCTTTTTTCATCGTAGGTGTTTCTCGCGAGGATCAGCGAATCATGGCCTCTTTGGCGACACCTTCCGAGGAAAAAGCTGTTCTCCCAGGCGGAAGAAGAAAACTATTCGTCGCTGGATTTCCGAAAGAGGGAGTCAAGGAAGCTGATATAAAAGAACTGTTCGAAAAATATGGAAAAGTGGAAGAGATCTGGCTCAATATGGAGAAATGTTTTGGTTTTCTAAAATTGGTAAGCGGCTGTTGGACGGGCACTGAGACGATGTGGTTTCAAATAGGCGTGTCTTTCGAAAGACAAAAATGTTTGAATCGGTTTTAAAAAAATCGAGACAGATTCAAGACAGAAAAAATTTGTTGTATTATGGGCGATTTACCAGTTTTAACCGGAACATTTTTAGCAAACATTGGTTTTGATAAAAACTTGGAAAATTTTTCAATCAACAGAGTGATGACACTTTGGTCGTGATAATGCTTTATGTGCAGGAAAAATCTTAGCATTTGTGGACGCCAAACTTTATTTGTCGCGGTTTGTCATTGGATTTAAAAAGAACAGTATCGAACAGCAAAAGGGTAAAGTTCAACGGAGAACGTGATCGAATTCTAGTTTAAAAATTGGATTTTAGTTTTGAGGTTTTCCAGTGGATTAAAAAAATTTTCTATTACATAAATATATTTACCAGTTTTCTCCAGTTGGGTTTATTTGATCAAAAAAAGGCTATCATTAATTATTTATGAATTTCGAACTTCAAGGGCATACATTTATTTCTGTGGAACTTGGAAATTTTCAAAGATAATTCAATATTTTTTTCCTTGTGTGCTTTGACTATTGTTTTTTTTTTTGGATATGTTTACGATTAATGAACGTAGTGATTTTTCTTATATAGATCTTGGTGATTTTTTTTAGGAAAAAGTCTAAAATTTGTTCACGCTCAATTTTGATTTTTCGCGGGTTGACTTGTGATTTCTTTTTAAGTTCAGTGCAGTTCCTTTGTTAAAAGGAAGGCAAACTCCACTATCGAACAGCAAAACTATAAAGGTCACGAAAAACGTGATCGACTTCTAATTTCGAAAATGGAAATTAATTATCAGATTTCCCAGCCAAATAAAAGTTTTACTTATTGATCCATTATTCTCAAATTGGATTAGTTTTAACAAAAAGTGTCCATCATAAATTCTTCTACATATTCAAAGAGCTTTAAGGCCATCTATTTTTTTCGAATTTCAGAATTTGAAGGTTTTTTAAAATAACCCGTCAGTTTTTTTTCAGTTTCCTTGCGTTCATTACTCTTTACCAACTGTCAGTTGGCTATGTTTGCAAAAGTAAAGCTTGTGTGCTTGTATGAACTCTCTTTTTTCCAACCTAAGTCGCAAATGTTAGTGTTCATTTGGTAGTGTTTTTCTATTGCAATAAGGGCATAAGATCAATAAACAGATATTAAGTACAGCCAATGCTAAGGATATTAGCACAGACTATTGTATTACAAATAGCACTTTAGCTTCAAGTTGTGATGGATCTGTAGCGTAAAAGTAGGGAAGGAAACTCGCAGCAAAATAAGAGGGTTCGAACCTGGTCAGGGTCGGATCTTTTTAACGAACTTTTTCGTATACTAGTTAAAATGCATCCGCTATATAAATTGAGGCATGTTAGTTGGTGAATTTCTTTTTTTTTTCAAATTGACTGGTGCTGCTAATGCGTCATAATTGGCATGCTTCACTTAGCAATTATGTAGACTCATAATTAGCGTGCGTCACCTAAGAAATTATGTTGACTCAAAGTTTTACTCATTCAGTTTTTCGCAGTAGCTTTATAGGTCTTATTTTTGCTTGTGTATGCGAAGTGCAGCTTCGCCTGTGTTATGAATTACAAACTCAGACGACATCATTTGTTTTCTTAAATTGTTGTCGTCTCAAAAATCCTAGCGTAGTTTTCATCAAAAATTTGAAAGAAAAGTTATTCTATCAAAAACATCATAACCCTTGCGATAAGCAAGTGTAATGCAACCGGGTACTAGACTTTTTTGTTGAAGGATTTCACAAGATATCGCGTGTGTTAATGTTACACGTGTCTCAATATACTCTATTACTCTTGCGATAAGCAAGGGTTTTGCAATCGGCTACTAGACTTTTTCCCGTAATTAACTTTGTTCACAAGAATATCATACTTCGAAATGGTAAAATTGGGTTCAGTTGATATTGAATTGCGTCTACAGCACTTTTGGCCTCGAGATAAAGGATGCGCCTGGCAGGGCAATGGTCCTGGGCTCGAATCTTAGCAGGACATGTTTTTTTTCAAACGGGAAATATTTTCTGTTTCAAAAAAAATTCTAGGGTTATTGTTTGTCTGCTTGTGTTTTTCGGCTTAGTTGCCACATCTTTTTAAAGTTTGTTTTTACTGTACGGTAGGCAATTACATTGTTGTTACTTTCAGGGTTTTGATTTTTTGTAATTTCTCGACTTCGTATATTTTCTTTGTTTTAAAAAATTATTCTGCCCAATCGATTTCGGCTTATGTTTTATCATAATGATTATGCTCGCGGATAGCATTGTCGGCTTGTCACAAATTCGTAAGTTTTGTTTTCATTCATTTTTAATGTTCAGTTGACTTATTCATCCTATTAAGTTTTAAAAACTGAAATGACTTTGCAGAGCAACTGATACGAAGATGTACAATTGTTGTTAGATCTAGTTCCTAGCAGTTTCATTTTGTTTCGACTTGTTTTCGACTCAGTTCCAGTCTGCTAGTTTGTCGTGCTATGTTTGCGTTTCTTTTCAATTTTTTTGCATTATGGTTGTCTACGTAAACTGTCTGCTTAGTTTCCGAATTGGATATACCACCTTGCATTTATCCTACATGGAACTCGTGGACACTATATACACAGAACATGTAATTTTTCCAAAAACGATTTTACTGAAAAGTTTTATTTCATCTACTTATTGGCTGGCGGTTTTATTTCTGTCGGCTGTTCTACCTAATTTTTTGTTGAGCACAAAGTTTCGGTTCTTTTTTTAAGATCGACTAAAATCTGGCTCCATTTTTTCGATTGCTTATAATACATCCCACAAAGTCGTCTATAAAAACTTAAATAAATTTATACATGAAAGAAAAACTCTTTTTTTTTCTCATTTTTTAAAATATTTGTTTTTCTATCTCCTTATTCAATTTTTTTGTAGTTCGAAGTCATTTATGCTAGTTAAGCTTCGCCTGTGTTGAAAAATGTTTTAATTTTTCAGGATTCGAAAGTGAACGCAGAGAAAGCTAAACTAGAGCTTGATAGAAGTTCATTCAAAGGCAGAAATCTCAATGTGCGTCTCGCATCTCAGAGCTCTGTCATCAAAGTGTCCAATCTGGGAGATTTTGTCACAAACGAACTACTGCGTATGTACTTACATACTACTTTCATTATGATATGTCACCGAGTGTATATGAAAGGCCCGCTTCGATTTGGATAAATCCACTAACCTGTTTTTTCCCGCCGACAATGTTGTGCCGTAATACGGTTTGATGAAGAAAGAAAATATATTAACTTGGACAGCTCTTAACTTACAGGATAGTTTTATACTGAATTTGTTCACAGGAGATGCATTTGAAGCTTTTGGGGAACTTGAGCGCGTATGTGTGGCTTGTAGTTATAACCTCAAGCCTTTGGGATATGGTTTTGTGGAGTTTTCGAACAAGAAACGAGCTGAACTGGCCATCCGCAAAATAAACGAGAATCCATTCGTTCTCACAAAGTAGGTTTTTTTGTCAAATCGGCTTAATTAGAAATGTTTCCGATTATTGAACGACATGACGTTTGTTATGTATTAGGTCGGTTAAACCAATTAGCGTGAAACCCCTCGAGGACAATGACGAGGAAGACGGAATCAGCTTGAAGACGATTAGACCGTCGCAGATGATGGCAATGTAAGTTATAATTAATTTCTATAGTGAGCTCAAAATTCTAGGTTTTATGAAACCATTTTTGTGTCCTGTCCTAATATAAACTTAGTTCGAATGAACTTTTTCGACACTCCATGACCTCACAGTTTTCATTCAGGGAGCTTTCTGAGAGACCTCGTTTCTTAGAAGAGGGAACTTTCGAGTATGACGTCGCAATGAAGTGGAAGATGCAATACATGTTCGAGGAACGCCAGCGGGAGTACCTGGAGCAACAGCTAGAGGAGTCCAGAGCGAGACTAGAGCTGGAAGTGGAGGACATGTACAAAAACCACAAGTCTTGGGTTCTGAGAGAGGAGTTGAGACGTCGACAAGATGTGAGTTGACAGTTAGGCTTGCGATCAGCAAGTGGTTTCAAATCGGAACATACTTTTTTTTCTTACGGAATCTCTGAGGTGAATAACAAGGAGACGGGTCTGATCCAGACAGTGACCTAAATAGGCAATTATGAGAGACAGTAAAGCAAACCAACAGTAAAGCAGAATCAAGGCATACAATTAGAAGGAAATTATTCGCCTTACATTGAATCACTATTTGTTACAGCTGTTACTCGTTATTTTTTACGTTCGATTTGTTCGATTTTACGTTCGGTTTCAATTATCCACCGAAATGTTTTCAAATTGTTTGTTTTGCTTGTTATTAAGTCACTGTCTAGACCAGACTCGCCTCCTTGTCATTCACCATCTCTGAATTATTTTCTCAAATATGTCGTTTTGTCAACCAGCTGACACCTTGTATCAATTGAGCCATCCCCATGCCCGCGTGTGGGGGGGGGGGAGCTCAATAGGAAATTAGGCACGTTTCTAACTACTTTTATTTTATGAAACTATGAGGCATGTTCTCCAACGATTGTGTAACACCAAAATTTACTATATGCCAAAATTTAAAAAAAAAATAGAGTGAAAAAATCACTAAAATTGATGCATTCAAAGCCGACTTTTTTCTGTCTCAAGCGAACAAAGTATACTGTTTCGTACAATTATCGTGATGCGGAGAACAGTTTTTGCCATTCACATACAAAGTTATAGCACCACCTAGGGTAACTTGCTTTCCTCAAAGCAACTTCGTAATTTTTTCTTAGTATCTTGTTTTTTCTTTTTCAATTTAATTGATCCGGCACTTCAAATATACGGTGTAGTCGAAATTAAATGCCAGTTGTTTTTTATGCTGGTTGTCATTTTACCAACTCGGTTTTGGCATAATTTCAGCTCCGTGTTTTCTCTAGCGAGCTAAGAGTGTGAATAAGTTGAAGTTGATTTTGAATGTGATGTTGAAATCTTTGATGTTCAAATGTGAATAGTTTGAAGTTGAAGTCTTTGAAGTTGATTTCGAATGTGCTTAGGAGTTGGAACGTCTGGAGAAATTCAAGAGTTCGGATTCGATGTTGGAGACGAAAAGGGCGTACTTGGACAGGGCGGCACAGGCGCGAGAGGAGCAGTTTCGAATGGAGGAGGAGAACTTTATGAAACACCAGGAGCAGCTGAGACGCAATGCAGAGGTGCACCTGGTCCAGCAGATGGCAGAACCACAAAGTCCTGATTACGATGTAAGCTATTATTGTATCCACACAAGCGCAGTGAAGTCTGATACTACAAGGCCACTTTTTTCCAACCTCAGTCGCAATTATATAAGTGCTACTAAGGTGGCATCTTTACATTCACAAAATGGCGGAAAGGCCGGTGCTTTACTTTACTATACGGCCTCCGAAAGTTTCAGTGGGGGAATCTTTGACCCATTTTTAGATTTTTTCATTTTCTCAAAAGTTACCTTAATTTTTGTCAAATATGAGAGTTCAGTCAAAATAACGTGTTATAGGGATCTCTCCTGCAGAAGCTGCCACGCCCTTGTTCATGTAGACAAAGTGTTATGGCTTCGGAAAATGTGCTAATTCTGAATTTTTCATCCTGTTTCATGGAAATTTTTCTCTTTCCTCGAAAACTACCCTAACAAAAATCGGAGATCAAGGGTTCAATGATAAGAACTGATGCTAGGAATCCGCATTGCATACACGTATACACCCGACCGAATGTTTTATAAAAAAAAGGTATAGCCAATGAAATTCTCTAATTTTGAAGTTTTGACCGTTGTTGGAAGCTTGAATTTTCTCTAAAACTACCAGGCCAAACCTGCGATTAAGGGTTCAATCGAAAGCACAAGATCTAGGGGTATTTCCTGCATCAGGGAATCATCTTGGTTTTGATTAGGAATCCGCTATGGACTAAAGATTTATTTGACCTTTTTACCGACCCTTTTGTGGACAGTTTCCCAAAAACGACCGTGCCAATTCTTGAAATTAGGAAATCTTTCCAAATACGATCTGAAGCATTGAAAGTACGATCTGTACCATTGGAAATTACATAGCATCTGTTCTCTGGTTTACTTTTGGCTAGTATTTGCCCGTCGTTAAGAGTCGGCGGCTGAGAAGGAAGGCTGTTAGACTCGAAATCTCGTGGTTGCTGGTTCGAATCTGACACAGATCAAAAGTTTATTGATTCGAGGCTTATTTATTCTTTTTATTATTTCGCTTCAAAGAGTCGCTTTTCTGTCGTTCTCTTGCTAGTGTTTGCAAAGCGCAACCCCTCCTGTGTTTAAGATTTTTAAGCGACCATAGCGCAGATGCTTGTGGTATTGTACGAGTTAACAGGCGTTGTGGTATATTACGAGTTAAGTTTTTTCCAATCATTTTATGATCATTTTTCGGCCCTTTTGCTGCATAGTATTGGCAATTTATAGCGTGTGTTCCCAGCTTTGAGATTGGTAAGTGTTTTGGTTCTTTAAGAGTAGCATTAAGTGTTTTTATGGCAGCATAGCTGGATGCTCGAGGCATGTGGTTCGATTCCCGCAAAGGACATTTAATGTTCAATTTTTTGTTTTGCTTTTTCCCTTTTTCATATTTCGAAAGCTTGTTCCTGGCGTTTTGTAGCGTTTGATTGAAGCAGTTTAGCCTCTTGGTCTTGATAACAAATTTAATGGTGCAGTTACATACAACTCTTAATTAATTAAGAAAATGGCCCTTAATAGGGTATCCTTTTGAACAAATACAAATATAGAATAGAAACTGTCAATGAATTTAGTGAACTCACTTCTATACGTATAAGTCACGTTGATTTTGTTCTTCTTTTTTTTCCGACTTTCGATACAAAAGTAACGGAATATTTGTGCTCGGGGTGGGTTTTTTTCTTCAGACAATTTTCGACTTTTTAACTAGCCATTTTTGACGGAATTTTTTCTATATCATTCAAAAGGTATTGTTGTCTTGAGCTTAAATTTGAAACGATATTTCACCTGTGATCATTTTTTGTAAAGTTATGGGGGTTTAAAGATTGCCGTTTTGGCCAATTTGGGACAATTAACTCGCGATATATTTCGCGCTAATAACGCGTAAGCGGATATTTAATCCGCCTTAGATATCGTTCCAAATTGGTTGAAAGAAGCTTATTTGCAATAATTGATTTGTAACAAGGAGCGAAGTCTATCCTTTTGTACTTTATATGGCGTGTGGGGTGATGATTTTCAAAAAAAATTCAAATTTAAGAAAGAACATTTTCATTTTATTTTATTAATTTTTTTTGTATGTTATTACTGCTCCATAAACCTTAAAAGACAGTCAGAACATTCAGGGCTTGGCCTTGATACGAGCAGTCTTGTTTTAATTTCTAATTTCAATTCAAATTAATTTGCGATTTTGCTCGCCAATTACGAAAGAGTTAATGGCCCAAAAACGTGAACGAATTCTCGTTCCGAAAGTGGATTTTAGTTATTAGATTAATCAGCGGCAGAGAACACCTATCTCGTTATCCAGTTTTCTGTCAATGGGTCAATTATATATTGTTTTTGAACTTTTGTTGAGACCATATATTTTTTACTTTCGAAAAATATTTTTTGTTTTCGTGTTCATTGACTCTTTCCAATTGTCTGACTATATTTTAAATTCTAGCAATTGAGATAATAAAGATGTTTTGTTACCTACAATAATACCAAGAAATTTATATCGTTCAGCTGTTTAGATCCCATACGGAGGAGGTTCGCGTGGTCGCACAGGTGGAATGGGAAGATCCTCGGTGGCTCAGAGGTACCAGGAGTATGACTCACCCCGAGTAAGTAGAAATCATGTAGATGGTCTATGAGAAGAAGTTCAAAAGTGATAATACTCAGTTTATGTTTCAGAGTAACAACTACATCGCCCTGGAGGTAGAATAATTGTGCATGTCTGACTGATTGTTATCTGTTGTAAAGCGTTTTTCCCAGCTTATGTTTGTTCCACTCATTCAGAATTTTGTTAAATATGGCAATTTTTTGTTAAATATCCCTATCTGATTTTACAGATGAGTGTATCGAAATTTCAAAATGGCTCTTGCAGTCTGAAATAGGGGGTTTAGGAAATTAGACGACAAGCAAATTAGACGATCATAAAATAACGAAATTTAGACAATAACTTGCGTGAAATTTGTTTACAGACTTAAATTATCTTTTGGCTGAGTAAATACTGGTTGTCCAATTTAGACAATAACTTGCGAGCAAATTGCGTGAAATTTGTTAAAAGACTTAAATTAAATTTTGTAAATACTGGTTGTCCGTGAATTCCGTTTCTTTACGGTCGTCTAATTTCTTGTCGTCTAATTTCCTAGGCACCGAAATTTAGCTACCAATAAATTTGGTTGTTTTGACTATTTAATGAATGAAATTACTGATCATTAGTGAAATCAGAAAGAGTAAAATAAAATCAAAGACTAAATGAAAGACACTGTTGAAAATTTATTTATCGTGGGCCATAACGAATAAGTGGTCAGGTGTGTTTTGTCTATGGTTTTTCTGCTGTAAAAAAGTTTGGTTGCCGTAAAAAGCTGAGTACGAAACAGCAGAACATGAAAAAAATACTTGAACAAACTTAATGAATTCTTGGCAAGACAATTTGTTATAGCAACCGGTTAAGCTTACGTATTACGACATCGAAGAACTATCATGTGTCATGGGCTGTAGATATTTTCTCGAAGATCTGTAAATCAGCCGTTGTCTCCCAAAGATTCGTTGTCTCCCAATGACTTGCTGACAAGCTAGAATCAAAATTACAAATCATTTGACCCAATAATACAAGACAACTGATTGCATTAATTTTGATTCAAGGTCATAATGTGTTTTTGCGATTAGATTTGTATCACCCTGTTGCTGTTGTAGTTGATGGGAGGTGGCGCTGGTGGCGGATCTAGTCTGGAGTACGGGGCGGCTGCCTCTGTGATGAAAGCACGATCGATCGGCATGGGAGGGGGAGGTCAGACTCAGTTGGGGGGACTTGGAGGAGGACTTGGTCCCAGTCAGATGAGCGGAGGGGGCATGGTAAGTACCAGACTGGTTAGCGAAGGCAGACAAGAAGAGATTGGTGGGTGATGATGATTAGTCAGATTTTCGTTTCTACAATTGCCTTTGTGGACTGAATTGAATTGATTTCCAGATGAATCATGCTCTAATAATTTCGATAGAATGGAGAAAATCGAATAGAAAAGCGTTTCACGGACATAACAAAACAAAGCGTACGCTTCTGTTTTGTTGTTCTATCGTCAATTTTAATCATAAGGTGGTGTGTGTGTGTGATCATTTGATTGGGAGATATGGAACATTAAGAAGGCATTTGGTATTGGTTGGAGAACTGAGAGATGGTCATGGTAAAAATTTTGGTGCTCTGGAATTTTGGTAGTCAAGTATACATGGTACCAGAAAATTCTGGGTTTGTGATATCGAAATAGTCGTCTTATATAAAGATGTTTGTATCTGAACGAACTCTGAGACGAAATATGGAAAATACTTGAGTTTGTCTTGAAGGATTCGGTAGTTCAATGGAACATAGTGAACGAAAAAAGAGAGTTCATTCACAAAAATAGTTTAGAGGTATTTCAGGCCATGGTGAAGCTAGGTTATAAGTTAGCTTCAAAAAAACTCAAAATAAAACACAAAATTTAAAAAAATATATCAAAATATAAAAAGTTAGGGATGGTCTAGTTATAAAATTGAGTCTGTTAAAATGTGTTTGGTATGAATTTTGGTAGATCAGAAGATGAAATACAGGATCGCCGTGATAATGCACACCTGTTCGATTAGCCAGTATATAACATAACTTAGATAGGATATTATATGCGGTAAACAACAAATATATTAGTGCAAAAGCATTAATACCAACAGTCTGTAGCATATCAAGTTCAGAATGAGCCTTTTTTTACTATCAGCTGAATGACTCCGTGGTTAGGTGATGGCTAGATGTATTACTATAGGATTCCAGTTCTTTGGATTATTAAGCAAGATTTTGTAAAAAAAAAATTGGCAGTTTGACTAAGAGATGGGAGAATGACTCATCAGGGAGACTTTGATGAGATATAGTGATACGTGATCAAAAGGTAAAGATAAAATAACAGCATCATAAATAATAATTATACGTATATTCTATAGCGCTTTCAGAAATTTAAGGTATCAGCTAATCAGGTAATAAGGGTAATCAGATTTTAAACGGTAAGTTGAGATAGGCAGAGGTTAGCGAGGAAAAACATAAAAAAGGAATTTTTTAGCTGTTTTTCAATGCTTCGGTAGTGGTAACAATACCGATTTAGACGCAGAAAAATAAGTTGATAGTAAGCTTTGGTTAGTTTGAGAACTTCTGAGGTTAAAATGAAGATAGAAAAATGCGAAGAAAGCAGTATTGAGCAGAGTCATTTTACGTCTAAAGGGTAATATTGAGCTCGATTTACAGCTAAAAAGGGGAGGGGAGGTTCATACCATATTTTGAAGTTAAACTAACTGATAAATTACGGGCCACGTTCCTTCACAGTGAGTTGCTGTTTTCGAACTGTGTAACTAACTGCTGTTTGATTGTCTGAAAGTTAGATACCAGTTCGGAAGCATTTTGATGTTTAAAGGGAACGTGCCATTAGTACTAATTCAAACGACACGCAGTTAAGGGGGTAGTCTTCTGGTCCAAATCTGTATTCCGAACTTTTTCACGCAGAAAAAAAAATTTAGTTTTTTTAGTGAAAAAAAACGGAAGTGATTTTCACTTATATTGGTCCTGATGATTTTTGATTTTTTGTTTGATTAATAGTCGATGAAGGTAGTTTAGACTCGTTTATAGGTTGCGAAGATTTTTGTTGAGGAAAAGTTTTAAACTTGTTCAGACTTGTATTTACTTTTTGCTGTTTGGCCATCTATGTTTTCTTTGAAATCTGTAAGTTGAGATTGGAATCCGTCACCGTTTTGAACTTATTTTTTTTTTGCTAAAAGGTAGGCAAAGTACGTTCTCCAATAACAAAAGTGGAAGCGATGCAAAAAAAATTGATCCTTTTCAGTTTCGAATTTGTATTGTGTTTTAGGAACTCCCAGCCGAATAATTTAGTTACTTATTGACCCAGTTTTTTTTTCAATTGGTTTTGTTCCTTAAGAGTCGATGAACGTTGTTCAGACTATTAGATAGGTCGCCATGGTTTTTTTCTGGAAAGTCTTCAAATTATTTCAGGCTCAATTTTGCTTTTTTGCGGTTTGACTTTGATTTGTTGTTAAGTTTAGTTATTTCCTTGGTGAAAATGAAGGCAAACTCCACTATCGAACTGTAAAAATGTAAAGATCACGAAAAATGTGATGTACTTCTTTTTTTTCAGATTTCCCAGCAAAATATGAAATTTTACTTGTTGATCCTGTTTTCTCTATTAGGGATAATTTAAAAAAAATAGCGCTAATCATACAATTTCAAAGAGCTTTATGTGCATTTATTTTTTCTTTGAAACTTGAAAGTTGATATTTTTTCAAAAAAAAATGTCTTTTGTTACTGTCATTCATTGACGCTTTTCCAACTGTCTGATGGCTGTTTTTTTTTATCAAAAAATGTCAATCATAAAATATTCTTGAATTCAAGGAGCTTAAAGATGATATGTTTTTTTTTGTAAATAAAATTAAGTTTTCAGTAATTTTTTTCGTTCATTGACTCTCGCTACTGTATTTAACACTAGCAAACTTTTTTTACTACAGCGTAATTTTTTGTTTTCCACACAACTTTTTTTTCGTTTTCCACGCAAACTCAGGTATCACCAGTAATCATAGGACTGGGTTGAGTGATATATCATATTAAAGCTCTTTCAGTCGTGATTCGAACGACATTAAAAAAGTTCTCAAAAAAAGTTTCGGTGTTGAGAACGTTCGTAATGTATGAAAATTACAAATTTTAGCTAAAATGTGATAATTTTACTTAAAAAATAGTGTTGGATACCTTATCTAGCGCTTCTCTGCCATCTTTTTTGTTTATTTATTTTTTTGAGGACAATCGTTGTTTATGCCTAATTCACTAAATTGCTACATCATAACACGACGTGCAAGAAAAGACACGAACCTGAAAAAAAACCTGAAAATGTGGTCGGAACCTTCTGTGCTACTTGCACAGTAACCGGCTATCCTTGTTACGTTTTGAAAGTGAACCGGCAATTAGTCTGTTTGCTGGACTTCATGATGAACGTTTTTATTTTCTTTTAAGTTTTAAGTCGATGCGCGACTTAATTGGGCGCGGCCACTTGATCAACATTTCGATGCGTTCAAATATTCCTTTCGTGACTTATTTAATGAATACTCTTTGTTTTCTTGCAGATTCTCCTTTTTGCTGCTTTTTTAGCTGTATTTTTTCGCTTGGAGTTGCGTTTGTAGCTTCACCTCTGGGTAAAATTGCCAATTGAGTTTCTACATATTGTTTGGGCACCTTTAAGTGTAAATAATGTTAAGGAACGCAATGATTCGTCTTTTTTTAGCATCTTTTATCTAATACCAGAAGTGCAAATTGTGCAAATTATTTCAGCCGTTTCAGGCATAAAAAATTTATCTACTGACACAGTTTCGTCTAATTGGGTTAGTTTATTGAAAAAAAATCTCAAACATGAAAGATTCTTGGAATTCAAAGAGCTTTAAACTGATGGATATTTTTGTCTGCAAATACCCGCTTATATGATGAGCATTCAATGCTGCTTGTATTTGTGGTATAGCCAAGACGTCTGCTGAGTGAACAATCAACTCTTAATCGGCGGGAACTAGGTTCGAATCCTTTGGTCGGCAATTGTTTCGCCTTTTCAAGACTTTTTTGAGGCTTATTTAGTTTTCTGTGATGATACTGAGTTCTTTGCCGTTTTTGCGACTGGTCTTTGCAAATTGCAGTATCGGCTCTGTTATTTTTTTCTGCCGAAGGTAGTTGATCAAATTGCGGTCTTCCTGGGTGAGGGGGTGTCATCCATTACGTCGAAGCTGTTCCACTTTCGATGAACCCTCTGACCCGGAATGAACCTAGGACCTGTTTTACGAGCAGCACCTACTCGGCAATGACCTCAAGAAGGCACTGCAGTGGGTATCGTGGAGGGCTAATGAAAGAATCTATTTATGGGTTATTTTTAGTCCAGGTTTCAGCTCCATTGAAATATATTTTATCAAAACTATTTTTTAATGTTTTTTTACGATACTAACTATGGTCATAACATAATGTTATTTAATCGCTGAGTAAATTTTGAAATTATGACACCCAAAGTCGTTTGACATTTACACACAGTGGCGTGCGCAGAAATTTTTCTAGGGTGGGGGCTGTTTTTCGAAAAACTTTGCCGACCTTTTTTTAGGTCGATCAATTTGATTATCCGAGCTCTCCGAAATTTGACAAAATACGCGTTTTTCGGCGCGCGCTCTCCCCTCAAATTTAGTTATATTGGCGCCAAAGGCGTCTTGAGAAAAATTTTGAGGTAGGTCTGCCAGAAATGGATGTCGTAAGTTTATACCAAAGGGGGACCCTTTGGAAAAAATTGGCAACCAGAACTGAGGGAGGGGGCGGTCGCCCCCTCTCTCTCTGCATGCTACTGATGTCACTCAATCCACTTTTCTTTTTTTTGAGTATTTTATAAAATTTTTGTACTTCGTAACGACAAACAGTTCGGTTCTTTTGTCACTAGGAAGTCAGATTTGTTTTTTTTTCGGAAACTGCAATCTTTGTTTACCAAAGCTGCGTGTCAACGATTTAGATTGGTGGTTTGATATGCGATCCACTATAATACGTGTTCTTTTGACTGACTGTTTAGCGTGGGGCAGGACTTTCTAGCCGACTCGGAGGCCTCGGAAACAGTACTTTGGACCAGGACAGAGGGGCTTCTTTCGACATTCAGCCAATCAGAAGACAACAGCATTACTAACTTTATTGAATGAAAAGAACTCCTTCGACGCACTTGATTTATTCAACTTACTCCTTCGAACACTTGATTATTTATTATCTACCTACAGACTCGAGTTGTTCTTTACCATCTCACGGGTGTTACGAACATACCAACATACCAAAATTGCATCAAATTCGAAAACTCAAGGACTTTAAAAGACTGCCGAGCCAGCGTAATAGGTTCAACTGACTTTGTCCTATCCGACAATTAAAAAAAGAAAATAAGAGAAAATGATATAATTTGGTTGTCCTCGTCATTACATCTAAAGTTATTGGTCCGTTACTTGCACGTGAATTTTTAATGTTTCTTATTTAATCGATGTGTTTTCTGTTACTGTCTCTTGTCTAGATAAGCTTACAAATTGAGTTTTGAGCCAAGGAATAGGCGAATTGTTTTGTGTTTTCTTTGCAGGAGTGGATGTTCTGTGATTTAAAAAATCTTTTACCGTGGCAATTTTCTTCTGAAGGTACCGACTTAAGTAGCCAAATTTCTAGAGAGTGATGTCATTTTAAAGCCCTTTCAGTCGTGATTACTATAAGATTTCAAAAAACTAGAAAAAAAATCCTACAAAATTTTTTTTCCAATTTGCTCATTTCACTATGAGTGTCGAATATGCCGAATCTCTAGAATGAGAACGACGTTAAAAAATTTTGAAAAACTTTGCCAGTCTCGAGAAACATCTGTTTGAAAGTTTTGGATTTTCGCTTTAGTTCGAGCGAATAAAGCGAACGAGCAGGTTACACTAGCTTATTTTTTTTGGCTTAAAAGCTTGCAATAGTTCACTTTGAAACGTTAAAGTTTGGTTTTATTCGAGTAATGTTAGTTCTGCTGAGGTTGTTTGCGGTTTTGGGATCCGAAATTCAAAAAACTACAAAAAATGTGATACATTTTTGAATTTTTTAAATTGTTTTTAGTCATGTTTCTACGAAAATTATTTTTCATTTTGCTCTTTTTGCTCTGACTGTCGAATATGCTGAATCTCTAGGTCATCGTTCAGATCATTTTATAACACCACGCCGAAAAAACTAAACTTATTCAAAAAAACTTCTTTTTTTTTAAAAATACTATGATCATGTAAAATATGTCGATTAGATAGCTGCTATACCAGAGTGTACAAATTTGGCAAAAAAACATACAAATGAGTCGAAATCCGATTACTCATGTTTTTTTGCTAAGTTGGTACACTCTGATATAGCAGCTATCTAATCGACTGATTTTACAGATGACTGCTGGCGGCAGCAATTATGAACTAGCGGCTTTAATCAAGCTTGAAAACCGCAGTTTTTATACAAAAAAAAGAAGTGTTCAATTTTCCCGTTGCCTTATTCTTAGATCTCAATAGCTTTTATGAAGTATCTGGAATGCGAGATTTTGAGAAAAGATGTTTTAAAATATCAAGTTTGCAATTTGTTAATCAGTTTTTTCAATAATCAACGTCTCGAGAAAAAGATTCAAATTTCTAATTAACAGAAAAACTCAGTGCGAATGCAGATTTAAACAAAAATTAATTAAAATGACTTATAAACCAAAATTAATTAAAATGACTTAAAGAATTGAACTGATGTAACTATAACGTTTACACAACTTACTGTCGTTCCTCAACAATCTGAAAAAATTCAATTGTTCCGGATGGCTTGAAGGTGGTGTGCAGTCAATTATCCGAATAAGGAGGTTTCAGAAATCAAACAGTAGCAGACTCACCGTTGTCGATACTTGCCTTTATCTTTCGGTTTCTTTGTCTTTCGGTGTTGAGAACCTTCAAATGCCAACGATTGAAAAAGTTTTGCCTTGCTTGGTCAAAAAGCAAAGGAAAGTGCTTGGTCTCTGCATCCATTTTGTCATTCTTCGCTCTCAATTAAGAAAAAAAATTGTGAAAATGGTTCAATGCTTTGACTGTCTGCTCTCAAATTATCTTATTTTTGCTGCCTTTGCTCATTGAGTTGAAAATACATTCAATTTATCGTAAAGCAATTAAACGAAATTTTAAGTTTTTTGATCGGATTTTTAAATGACTGCAGCCGTTATCATTAGATCCATTATTCCCCAACGCAGAGTTGGCGAGTAATGAATATAATGATAATGGCGGCTGCCATTTAAAAATAACTTCAAAAAACAGGAAAACTTTCATTTAATTGCTTTACGTTAGTTTGAATGTATTTACA